AAATTCAATCCCGCTTGACATGCTAGACTAACGTTTCCTCTCACATCATAGAGTAGAATTGTAGCAACCATGGCCCGCCGAGTGGCCAGGCACGAAAGCTCCGACACGTCTGGCATGTACTTGGCGCATCCGGCACTCATGTTCGCGATGGCGATGAAGTGCATGGCCAAAAGTCTCTTGTGGAGCGCTCTGGCATCATGCGGTGTGGTTTGGCGTTACAGTCGAGACGAGCACCGGGCGGGAGTGGGCAAAGCCGGAACCGTTGTTTTTGTGATGCTTTGTTGGGCCAGGCACGCAAACAAGGCAGGACGAGGTCAAGCAAGGGAACAATTGAGCAGCAGAGCAACAATCTGCTGTGCGTCTTAGTGTGTGCGCACATGCTGGAGGTCAGGCAACCAGGTGATCTCAGCAGACCACGGAAAAACACGTACGACGTGCATATCGACGCAATATAGTAGCGTTTTGTGTACCCACCGGACTCTGGAGCCGCCGGCGCTAGGCGGGCGCTGTCGTGGTGAGGTGGACGCCAATACCTGGGACAAGCCTCTGGCAGTTACGGCCCTGGCAATCCGAGCCACCGGAGAAGACCTGAAGCACACCGCATCGAGCACCAAGGCGGTCCGCGTTGCGGTGAGGGCTAACACCACGGCGTAAGCTGCAGTCGCCATGATACCGCGCTTCAACAAGCTGCAAACCTCGGCGCCCTCAAAGCGATATGCAACGCTGTTACTACTGCAGCTATGCACACCGCACACAACGGAAGAGATTATTCCACACACGCGTGTGTATGAAGATGTCTGTGTATCTTCCTGGGTGGTAAAGCAGCTGGCGGAATGTGAAACATACCGATGCAGCGATGAATGTTGATCAGGTTGCCGGTTCGCCCCATTTTTTTTTTTATCAATGATCCAACGTATCCATCTCTACAATATCGGAAAAAAGTGTTCACGAGATGTAGATTAGCATTATTTTAGAGTCGGCGAAAAGTTCTGTTTTGTTTTGTTTTTCTGATTTTGTATCGTTATGCTCTTCAATTCAAATCAGCGCTCACAGCATTGGATCAGCGCTCACAGCACTGGTGCCGTTTACTCCAACCCGTGGTCACACAGAAGAGCCCCTCTGTACCTTCCCCTCCTGCGGTACTTTGCCGCTCGACGCTTATTGGCTGCCTCAACCCCAGCACATGTTCTTATGGCCATATGTTCTTATTCCGAGCAGACATTTGGTCGCTGAAAACGGGGTTCTTGTTCTTATTTCACTGGCGAGTGCTCCATAGGCGCACCAGGACGCCCTTTGGTGACTCTCGCAGCTATGTACACTCATCGATAGAACTTGGAAATTGGCGTGTAGTTTCATGCGGAAAAATAAGTTGCATCATCCCCATACAGCACGTCCATACTTCGCCGTACCATGCCCATACTGCTGTCCATTCACCAGGCACCAAGATTACCGGCCATCGACTTGGTCGCATACTTGTACAGCAGACATGGACTAGACCGGATCACACACCGCAGCAGCTATGCTCGCGGTTGAGTACAAATACGAAAACAAACTCCGAAGGCTTCAACCTTCTTGATCGATAAGGGTCACGTTCGGCCTGCGTTCCCTTCCCGCTCTACTAACGCCCGACGTGACTGCAGCTCCGCCCCCATCCACCTGCTCGACCGTGCTCCTCTAAAGCAAGATCCACGAGCCCACCACCGCATACGGATCTCCTCTGTACATTTCCAACGGCAGCTTCATGCTGCGCGTACTTAGGTAGTCGTAAAGGTGGCAAGGGCGCTCCTGAGACTTGTTATTGTTTGCTGTTGTTTCTCACATTAGCTCTATATTCCACAAAAATGGGGAGCCCGTGGTCTCAAAACCCGGCACATACGACGCCGCGGGGAAACAAACAACAATCGGGTACAAACCACTCGGGCTAAGAAAACAAAATGATAGAAAGAAAAGAACAGGTATCGCACCGACCGTTCGAGAAAAGAGCCCTCGGAAACAGATCAAAATAGGAGGACGCTTCCCACACCCGCCCAAAGAAAAAATCCACGATCAAAGAAAGGGTAACGTACCAGCACCAGGCATTACGCACCAGGGCATGGGAGTAACGGAGCAAACAGGACAAAGAGGCGGCAGAAGGGCAGGCAGCCAGACGTACAAAAACAAAGGCAACAGCAACAGCAAAGCAAAGCGAGATCAAGGTACCCAACACAGCAGAGTAGGCAGGGAGGTCATGAAAAAAAGAAACACAGCACAGATGAGGCCGAAGGCAATAAAAAGGACATACATAAAGGAGTACGGCATACAGCAGGGAGGGAAACAGGGCGCAACGACATCAGCCTAGTACAATTAGTTCGCCACAAGTTAGTGCTGCCTCGGCCGCCCTACTCGCTTCTACAGCAGTGCCCGGTCGCCGTTTCTTCCCCCCCACCGCCGCTTCCCCGGCTCTCTTTCTCTTCGGTCCTTAGGCCGTACTCTCTGCTTCTGCTTCTCGCGCGCTGGCGCTGNCGTCTCCCATGTTGAAGGCCACGAGGTCCTCTCCTAGACGAGACACCCAGCCGCTCTCCTGCCCGCCCCGGTATCCCACGCCCCCCGCCATCGCTCCCAACAGCATGCGCTTGGGGAGGCGGTTGTCCTCCATGCGCAGAACAAAGCCCGCGAAACCTAGTCTCCGTTTGCGTACGGTGGCCTCGATGGTTTCCTCGCAGCCTGCCTGGATGAGGGCCTGGGCATAGAACAGGGGGCGGTCTGAGCGTTTCCGCTTGCTCCAGCCGATGCACCGTGTAAGTAACTGGCGGTGGGTCTCATTGAGCTTCGTGTAGTGCTCCGCTGGTAAGCTCCACGAGGCGCACCCATACAGGAGAGTCTCCACCACTTCAGCCTGGAGTTGCCGGATCTTGACCTGGCGGTTGGCCCGTCGCCTGTCGTACATCGAAGCACCGTTCCGGCGGTAGCACTTCCACGCTCGGCAGCTGCGGCTCGTGATCTCCCGGTCGGCCTTCCCGTCCGCGGAGATGGTACGTCCGAGGTACACAAACCGATCTGTCTGCTTGTACGTCTGGC